GAAAGAGGACAGTCTGGTGATTAGTATCTAATATATTAGCCCTAGCAAATGACCTGAATAGAAAGCATATACTATTCCTGTTACCCAGTAGTCTTCAGTGGTGGGAATAGGCTCTGGATTTATGGTACTCACTGTAATTGAAGTCACCATTGCTGTGCTGCTACTGTACACACCTGTCACAGCATGATAGGCTGGAGTTTCTTCAGTTGAGTGGTATGTGTGGGGTGTCACAGGAAGGGATGTCTTTCCCACTCTATGATGCTGCTGCTAGCAGAAAAAATGTTGATATAATGACATGAGAACAATGCTTTTCCACTTCTCTGGTAACTGCCCAAGCATTGCCTATGGAAGTCAGTGTTACTCTTCATATTGAAGAGTATTGAGAAAGCAGCCTGAGGACACCGAATACCTAAAGACTAAAGGCTTTGAAGAAGCTGTTGTTGAAGAGGGAACTGCTAGTGAGGTCAGGCCTTAGGATCCACATGGATTCAGACCCAGTGAATGAGAACTTTCTATGGAGACTAGGTGGGGCAGCAACCACTCTTCCAGCCTAGGGAAGGGCAGAGGCTGTGGAAGGGATATGCTGTAACCCAAATAATTGTTCTTTGATTTTAAAGATCAGTTCTGTTTCCTTAAAACTACCAAGCCAAACTCTTCTTAATTAGCTTTTTGAGGAGAAAGAGTGAATTTCATCACAGAGACCAATACTTTTTGCCCCATCCTTTGAATAGTAACCCCGTTTGTCATCTTTTTCTTACAGCAATGTTGCAAGATGGATATTTTTGCTTTTCCTGTGTTAGTATGTGTAGCATTTTTTTGTTCCCCAGCCATATTTCACTGTCTGCTATTCTAAACGTATGATGTCACTGGAGTAGCAGGTACAGTTGGAGCCAAGGCAAGACTAACTTTAGTTTAATTATATGTGAGTTTAAGCTTTGGAGGAAGAAGAATGTGTGACTTAGAACAGTTTATTTCTTTGAAACATATAATGGGGATTTTGACTTCACAATCTGGCATTTTTTTCCTGAGTAGTTTAAGAAAATACAAGGAGTGAGTAGAGCATACCCTGACATTATTCTCTCAATTGTTTTCAAAGATGTCTTTGAGAAAGAATCAAATTTTTCCTAGAGAAAGATACAGAATCTTAGGAAGATTAGGCAAAAAGACAAATCTTTGAAAGATATATAACCAAAAGGTAACTCAGGTTTTAGCAAGCATCTCAAGCCTTACTGAGTGACTTTTTTCATTGCAAACTATAATGTGGTACTGTGATACAGTTGATGCAAACACGGTTGTTTTGCTGATAATTTCAGACTGCCTGACAGACAGATGAATACAGAAGGATGCTTCAGGTATTTAACTAAGTGGATCCTATACTTTACAAAACCATAATAGAGGTCCTATTTACTCTCTTAAATCCCTTTCCAAGTGATTCCACATGCATGACTAACACAGCTACTGATCCAGGGATGAAATGCAGGCTAGATGAATTCCCCAACAAATTCAGGTATAACAACACAGTAATAGTAATGATGGATGAAATTTCAGCCCCAGTTATATTGGGGTAATCCTGCAATGCATCATTGTGAAAGCCCATTATTGGGCTTGAGTATCTTGTTGCTATTGTGGTTGACTGCAGTGAGAGCTGTTATGTCCTACTGCCACGGTTGTCACTGGTTTGGGATCTTAAGGAAAGAAGCCATGTTAGTTTATCTTTCTATAAGAGATCTTGACCAGGGCAAATCTTATGGTCCAGATCTCAGTTATTCCCTTTTGTACGAGACATGCCTCAGTTACATTACAAAACCTTGGAGAAGGAACTGTATTTTTGTTTTCCCAATGTGCAAGCAGCTAGAGACACTTGCTTAAATGCTGAAGCATGAGGCCAGCCGGATGCAGTGATTCAGCTGAGCCTGTTTCAGATCTGAGTTATTAAGTCTGTACAGGGACAGATGTGGGGAATATGCAGACACATGTATTTTCCTCATCCATACCAAGCCAAACAGTCAGAACCATCTTCTCAGACTGCCAAGCAGAGTGGTCAAGTGGAAGCCCTTTACTTGGTATACCTTTTCTGTACATTGAACTGGTTTCTGTGCAAACAGGTGGTTGTGTACTAAGTGAAAAACATGGGAAACATAAGAATTACAAAATCAGTCCTCCTAAAGGAGGGTTCTGCCCTGAAGCTATGGAAGGCTTCAATAAAAATTAGGAAAAGTCAGTGCTCCCCTCAGAAGGATTACAAGTACAGCTACTTCCCAAAAGGTTGCAGCCACAGTGACTCACAGAAAATACTGAAGGGCATTATCCACAGACGGAAAAATGGTCAGCCAGATAAATGCAAGTAGCCAAGGTCAGCATACCTGCTAGCGCTGCTGTGCTGCTATGGCTGGTTGCAGGGGTGGGAATAAATTCCTCCAAACTGCTGGATAGCATTTGGGTAGATGATCAGTTCCTTGTGTTGCCTCAAATCTCTTGCCTATATTAGCAGAGGAAATGGTTCATCCTGCCATTCTCCTCCATTTTAATTTTGTAAGTGGAGGGAATCTGGGCCTCATTTAGAGATGCATTAGTCTCTTTTAAAATGTCCAGAGTTAGCATAAAAGCTTTTATATTCAAAATCTTATAAAAATAGCTAATCAATCTAATCAGTTTGATCTTTCCTACCATTTCAGACTTGAATTTACCACACCCCATTTGGGGGAATATGTATATTTTATAGTACAGAACAAAAAACAGCATAAATAGCCACATTTCAATAAATAAAGAAATTAGAGCAAAGATTATTAAACCCAGTGGGCAAATAAAATACTCTTTATAGAAACCTCAGGAGCTTCAGTTTCAGCCTACTCCCATGCCTTGCAATCGCATTACTCTTTCAGATTCAGCAGGGTAATAAAGTACAAGACCAAATATTTAATCCCCTTATTTGTGAAGGCCCCAGCTCAGAAAAGGTCTTACATGTGTTTGTTTATGAGATTATTAATGAACGTGGGTTCTCACAGAAATCTCGCTCATAATTTGGGAGAACTAAAGTGTATTTGTCAAGCTAAACATGGAATGAAATATCTAACCAAGAAAGAAGACTTTAAGAAACTGAGATTCTAAAATTAGTCTTTGCTCACTCAGATGATCTATTTGATTATAATGGCAAGCATATGAAATATGGTATGGAATTGCAAGGGGTCTTGCAAGGTTTGTGCTCAGTTTTTCTTAAATTGTACTTCAGACGGCACTCCCAAACAAATACATAAAAGCATTATCCCTTTCTCTACCATTGCAATGCACTGCTGAAAGAGGTTTGGGGTTTTTTAATAGAGGAAATGTAGGTTTTCTTCTTTTTTGTTTGATTTGACCTAATTTCTGACCTCTTTTTAATCTCTCATTAGACTCCATCTTTTGCTTTCTTGTAACTTTTTTACATTGTAGGGAAGACTGGAAACTTCTGCTAAATAAAGGATGAATTTTGGTGAAGCAGTATCTGTTTTGAGCTCTGTGACACTCCTGAGATAATCAACAGGGCTTATTGACCTCAGATGTAATATCTTCTCTGGTGATTTTTGCACAAAGGAAACACACTGATTGTGCATTTTAGGAGGCATGAATTTTCAAAGTTCTTAGAGAGCTGATGTGGAGCACAGAAAGCAACATGTCTCAGTTCTGAAACCAGGACAATGCTTAATACATGAGTTGGGCATTACAAAGGCTCTGCTATTAGATTTTCATGCCCTTTGCCAGGCTGGGATCCTCTGCTTATGAAAGCAGCTTCAGTTACTGGTATCCCAGCAGGCAAGCATCGAATACCAAGCATTTACTCTCTCAGCAGTCAAATACTACATCTGGAGAATTCATAGGCTTGGGAGGGGAGGATTTCTTTGTTTGTTTGGAGTTTTTTTGGTCAGGCAAATAACACATTAATATAATTTTTCTAGTCCCTTCTAATGTCTGTTTCCATTTACCTGGCATAAAGTTACTCTTTTAAGTTTTGCACTTTGCAGTGATGTGTTGCCATGCCTGGACATGAGCACCATTGCTGGTCCAGAACGGCTTTGACTGCTATTCCATGCCCTCAACACTGTTAATATGTCAATTAACAGAGGGAGCTGCAAAATCATTCATGTCATTGCTGCCATTGCATGTTCTTCAAAATGTATTTCATGGATACTATCCTTATGAAGTTCACAAGAAAAGCCTAGGTGTTGCAGTGCATGGCTTGGTGCAGTGTTACAGCTATAAACAGGTTCAAAATCTATTCTGATGCAAAAGTGTGTTTGTACCTTTCAAAATTGTATCTGTGAAGCTTATCTTTGCTGCAGGAGAAATTTGACATTAGTTACCAACTTTTGCAGGTCATTGGCAGAACTGCGTGGAGAAGCTAACTTACTGCTTGTCAATGTTTTATATGCCCAGGCAGTATTAAGAATTTCATTTTTAATAGATTTTACAATACACTTTTCATTTTTAATAAATTTTCTAACAGCATAAGTTGCCTGTTTAGCAACTATGAATTATAGATATGAAACTGTTGTATTCAGAAAAGTTACATAATTTCAATTAGACCTTGTTTATTTTCCCTTTAAGAACAAAAAAAACCAAAGTGATTTTGAGTTCTTAAAATATGTACTTAACTCCAGCTTCCCTGTATAGAAAACTTGCATAAAATGTTATTCTCTATATTTCCTGCTTACTAAATGTCATTTACCATAACTTACAGTGTAAATGAAACTGAACCTTCTTTTGAAGCATCCAGAAGGTATTATTTCTGTTTTTAGTGTACCATGATACACTCATTCATTTCTTCAGAATTTTCTCAAACCTTCGTCTTTGTACTCTTCAGCCATCTCTGTGTTTTCTTATCATGTCAATAATTATTTACCATAGGATTAACTGACAGATTGTGTTAAATCCAGTGGATCCCAATCTTCTCCAGCCATTGTACCACTACCTCAGTCTTATCTGAAAGATGTTCAGTGCTCCCAGCTCCCATTTGACATCCCTGGGAGTTTAGTGTGCTCCATATCTTGCAAGACAGGGCCTCTAGATGTAAGACATCATTATGTGTACCCTCCCATGTGTTTGCATGTTTTCTGATCAGCACCGGGTTTTGTGTTGCCTGTAACCCAGCCTGATGGCTGTGTGGTGGAGCAGGGCACACGGTGTGCGAAGGGAACCGGCTGGGCTCCAGCGGAAGTCAGGCAGTGGCTCGCCCCTGGCTTCAGTGAAAGGGCCTGCAGGTTTAGAAGAAGGACAAGCCGAACTAAAAACACATTCATAAATGATAAAGAAGTAGTGGCACACATAGCTGTGGTTGGGAGCCACACCACAATTTGCTACCTGATAATCCTGAGGACATACTTCATACTACTGCATACTGGACTGCTAAAACTCCTAAAATTTTTGGGATACCACTGACTGCTTCTAACCAGCTACTTCTCATACCCTAGCACCCTCTCTCTCAATAGCAAATCCTAGATGCTTACAACCAAAGCTATATCAAATGTTTGGTTTGAAGCAATACCATGAAAGAGACTGAGAAGGAAGATAAGTGTTCAGATCCACAAACCAGTACCAGTTCACACCTTCCTCGGCCATCTCAGAAAAATGTCTGAAATTACATGACCTTCTTTGCCACACATAGGCAAAACAGCCAGAAGTAAAGAACATTCACATCCCTATTGTACACATTTCATTAGGTATTTAGACACATTTAAAGTACATCTAATAAGTACTTGGGAGACCATAGTGATCCCTTCCCAATCTGTATTGAACTGTTCTCTTTTCCAGTATCATGTCAGCACATTGAGGATCTAATAAACTTAAAGGAAAAAAACATTTGCTGAGAAAAAAGTATTTCATGTGCACGGCCACGTAAAATAATCTAAAACTTCAGAAAGCAGCAAGTCAAGTGTCCTGATGCCGTTTGAACAGTGCCTTTTCACTACCTGTTTTGCCATTAGAGAAAAAAATACAAAATAACTCTTCTTGTGAGAATTTAATAATTTTTATTATTTATAATTTGCCTTTGGATTGAAATTGCAGTTACTAAATTGAGGTAGGTACCAGCCATTTATAGTAGGATAGAATACAATCTAGAGTGTCAATTTTGCCATCAGGGGAGAGAGTGGGTGCTGATCTAACAAAAGCATCTAATTTAAAATTCATCCCTTCACTTCTGTAACAGTTGCTTTGCCTATGTGTTTCCCATGTTTTTACAACTGCATATTCATAAAATTAATTTTTTAAAGTGTGATTCTCAGACATTTCATAATGTGGGTGCTTTGCTTTTTACTAATGCTCTTTATCTGTCTACAGTAGAAACAGATACTCAGTGGCTTACGCAGCGCAGAAGCCATGGCTGCTGAATGCAACTGTGGAGGAGAACATTATCTTTGGGAGTCCATTTAATAAACAGAGGTAAATAACAACCCCCTTGCAAAAACACCTGTCAGCTTCTTTTAAAGAGATTTTTGGCTTCTCCTTCTGGAGGAAGTTTGTAGATTCTGAAAAATATCAATGCACGTTAACCCTGGTGTGGATTTAGCTAACCTGACTTTAGCCGTCTCAAAGGAAGGTTTCTGTTTTAAATTAGTCTTTTAAGGTTCCCCCTCTAACCAGAGTGCATGTGTAAGATGTTTGTGAGAAATCATACAGCAGCAGTGGCTCTCTGTGGAACACAGTGGAAGCCATCCATGTATTTATCAAGCAGCTAAAATTAGGTGAGATGAATCCCATCTTTGCAGACTACTGACATGTTTTTGTTTTGTTTAATGGAGCCTGAGGTTGCCAGAGGACTCTGGAAATAGGGATACTAGGCCTGTTTCCACTGAGTTTATGTGCTAATCCTGCTGTGATCTAGTTACTGGAGCAGCCACTTTACAAAAACACTGTGCATATGAAGATGGGTGCCTCAAGGAAATAACTTTAATTCTTCCTTTAGAAATACAGCAGAAGGGAGTCTGAAAGGTGGGGTGCACAGCTTCTGTTGTGCCTATCCAGCACTTGCTTCTTGTGTCCTTCTAAAAGGTTAGCTAACAAATCCAGTGGAAAAAGTGACTTGATTTAAGGAAAACAAATTGCTGATGTTTTCAAAGGCAACACTCTCTTTCTTTTAAGTTATTAAAAATACATCCCATTCCTCTCAGTATGTGCTTTGTTAAGATGCATGACTCCATTTCCACTTAATAAAACTTAGCAATGACCAAATATCTTAAAATCCAGATAACCATCTAAAATTTCAGGGACCTGGTCCTTCATCTACTGCATCCATCAGCCTAACTTCACTCATATCAAAGGGGCAGGGCTGGATTACACCACTCAAACAGTCTCATCCCAGCTTCTTATTAGCAGATTATCTGTGATACCCCACGGAACTAGAAATCTCACAACAAATTTCAAGTTTTTGCAAGTTTTTTCATGATTCTGGCAAGATCAGAAGCATTGGAGGGATCCTTTGTCCTGTAATATCACACTGAAGTAAATGAAGAGGCACCTAAAGGGGGAAGAATAATAACTCATTGGAAAATGGCTTCAAATACTCCAGAGTTCAGCAAAACAACTCTGTGATAGGGAGGAATGTACTCAGTAAGTTACATAATTCAGTCTTTAAAAGTAGGCTTGCCAATAAAGGTCTCTAATAAATATGTCATTTTTTACAATACTTAGTTTACAATGCTCCATGATTAGTTGCTGAATAATCATTTTGCCCTACTTATCTTTGCAATTAACCAACCATCATTGAGCCATAATAACTTAGCAGTGAGTTTGAGTTGGAGATTTTCGTGTTAGCAAAGTAAGTGGCTGGTTAAAGAGTTGCAATGACCATACTCTTTTTGCAGGTACAAAGCTGTTACAGATGCATGCTCTCTGCAACCTGACATTGACTTACTACCATTTGGTGATCAGACAGAAATTGGAGAAAGGGTAAATAATATGAATGCTTTTGTGTCTGATTAGCTTATGTATTAAGAAGGCGTTCTCTGTTGTCACTCAGACAAATCTAGTCTGTACTGGGCTGCCAGCCTGGTAGATAGTTGTAATTCACCAGGGGTTACTGCAAAAAAAGTTGAAAACTTTTTTCCTTCTTCAGCTGTTTCTCAAACGGGATTTTTTTATCAAAGTCTCCTATATTTTTCTTGCAGAATTTGATGCTAGCATTCTTTGCATTTTTCAAGCTAAGAATACTACTGTGCTTAGAGAAGCCCTTCATAATTTAAACTTGCCCATGATTAGTTGCTGAATAATTGTTTTTCTTCTGATACTATATGAGGATTATGCTTGTTTATCAACAGGATTAGCATTTTAATGAAGCTTTTTATTTTTATTGGAACTCTGTATAATTGTAAAAAACACATTTCCAAAGTCCTATCATAATGTTTATTCAAAGATGCATATTTCTGATCCATTATGCTCATTAGGGGATTAATTTAAGTGGCGGCCAACGACAGAGAATCTGTGTAGCTCGAGCACTCTATCAGAACACCAACATTGTCTTCTTGGTAAGATTTTTCTTTTTCATATGGAGCATGGTAAGTTAGTAATAAAACTGTCATTCCTTATATTTAGCTTTAGAAAAATGTATGTTAGATTTAGAAAACTATAGGGACTTGTATTCAACTCCAAATCCAAATTATAGAGATAGGAAATAAATATCCACCAGAGGCAGCATCAAAACATACTGGGAGACTGATGAAGGTGGGATTTCCTACAGAGATTAACACTGGAAGAACAGATTGTCTAACTTCTGCTCGCTCTCACTGGTGACTTACTGTCAACACAGTCCCACTGAAATCAGCCGGACTTCTGATAAGGAAAAGCACCATGATGCAACTACTTGTGAGCAATGAACAGACTGAGGGTTCAGCACTCTCCTGCAGTGTGCTGTGGATTTGGACAAACTTTTCCTTCTCTGTTACTAATTTCAAGGCATGTCAGGAATTTCAAGAGGCTACTGCTGATGAAGGGGTTGTTTGAGCACCTTCAAAATTAACTAGGGACTTCTGTTCTTAGAGAAAAAGTGTTTGCATATTAATATCCTTATCTGAGTGCTGTCTTACTGCTAGCCACACTCACTCACTCAAAGTGAAGACCAAGCACATCTGCAGTTTAGTTTGGAGGAAATCAGAACAGTTCCTAGCTCTGCTTTACCTTTTCTGTGCCAATTTCCCATCAAAATTAGGCCCAAGTTTGGCTCTGGGTCCTGGCATTTTCAAATTTGGATGGGAAATTTCAGTTCTGGTGTTCCTCATCAGGATTAGTCCATGCTGTCAGCGTGGTACCAGCACCGCACACATCTAGACACAAAAAATTAACTGCTATGAACTAAAGAGCAATGCATTAGCTCACTGTTTCATAGTGTGGCCCTCTGACTAGGTCTTAGTCATTAGAGAGAGATGAAACGTTAGTAATGGCAGATGCTTTCTGTTTTTAAAAAAAGCTTGCAGGAAATAAAACTCATTTTTGTATCTTGTTCTAATGCTCTTAAATTTGGTTTGATTGCAGGATGACCCATTCTCTGCGCTGGACATTCACTTAAGTGATCATTTGATGCAGGAAGGGATTTTGAAGTTCCTGCAAGAAGACAAGAGGACTCTTGTTCTGGTGACACATAAGTTACAATATCTACCGCATGCAGACTGGGTAAGAGAATAGATACCATGATGCAGACTTGCTAATGATGAACGGACACTTGAAGTTAGCACCATAACACTTGATGAGATCACTACTTTTCTCTGTAATGGAGTTCCTCCTCCTTAATTCCATACGTCATGTGGCTAACTGCCACTTTACTTAATACAGATTTCATAGTAGAAGGAACAGTTTTATTTTTACATTATTTGTGTAGAGTTTTTTTGATTGAAAGCCACCAGAGAATTATGACTTAATTGAAAATATGACTTGCTTATTATGTCTTGTCCATGATTTTTACAAGTAGAGGTAAGCACGGCTTATAGGAGCTTCAGTGTATGAGCCGCGTCAACAAACTTAAGAAGTTATTAGTAAAATAGTGAACAAAATAAACACAGAAATTTCCATAATGGTAGTCTCACCAATACTGAGACATGTCTTGTAGGATCCAGGTCAGTGAGTATGGTATCTATGTTGCTGAGTAGACCTGTTGGATGCTTTCTCCCCTAGATCATAGCAATGAAGGATGGAATGGTGCTTAGAGAAGGGACACTAAAGGATATCCAAAACAAGGATATTGAGCTATATGAACACTGGAAAACTCTGATGAATCGCCAAGATCAAGAATTGGAGAAGGTAAATAGGAGCATTTGGGCAAGGGTGACCTTTCTGAAAAGAAATATTTTTCAGTTAATTTCTAAAAAAAACAAACCATGTCAGAAAACAAGTTTAAAACTAAAACACATGAACTGTAAGGAGCTTTAAGGACCAGAATAGATTGTGTAGGAAGTGTGTGGTATATCCGACATGGGTGGTTTGTAAGGACACATTAGGCAAACATCCTTTTGAAATGCGGTGCACAACTGATCCTTTGCTGGCACAAGGGACAGACTAAGAGACTTCCTAAAGTATGTCTTATCCTTTTATTTTGTTCTTGCCATGAGCATTTGGGATTCTCTAAAAACTATTTTTGAAGTTTTTATCATTCCAGAAGAGAAGGAATGAAAGAATGAAAGAAAGAGAGAGGGAAGAAAGTGGACAGGGCAGAATTTTCTGCAAGATAAATCCTAAAATACTGTGTTTTTGCATTCTGTGAGCTAAATCATCTGAATATTCTCTTTGAGGTTACTGTTGGTGTTACCACAATGGCAGAGAGGTAATGTCTCAAATTAATAAATATTGTTATTACAGGATATGGAAGCTGACCAGACTACTCTTGAGAGAAAAACTCTTAGAAGGGCCATGTACCCCAGAGAATCCAAATCACAACTGGAAGATGAAGATGAAGGTATGTTTTATCATTTCGCTTTATTTATTCTACTGCCATGTATGATTGCCTTTCCACTTGAACAGCTGGGAGTTCTTAGCAACAAAGCGTGAAGATGTTGATGACACTTGGTAATAACAGTGGAAAGTCCAATACTTCAACCTGTTTAGAATACGACTTGTTTATGGGATTCTCCATAGATATCTCTAAACATTGTGCAAGGAATAGGTGTACCAAAACAAGTTAATTTCTTTGCTAACTCATGCTGCCTGGAGATAGTGAGGGGTGAGATAGAAGTAAAACAATGGTAAGAATTGTTCTTAATGCATATTGAGATAGCTCTGCCTAGTTATTGGTACAATAATGTTAGATCATCTGTAGCCCTGAGCCTCATGAGATATCTGTTCTGGGCTCTTGATATATCACCATGTGATCAAACTTGTAGCTATTTTCAATTCTTTTTTGGATATGGAGTTAATCTGCTATTTTTCTAGCTGAAACTATTTATGGGAGAAATTTTAGGCTTTGTTCTCAAGCTTAGCTTCTTGTTCCCCCAAGTCTTGGTGGTTTTAGAGGCTGCAGATTCAGATTCACATCACTTTTAAAGTGGTGTTGGGGGCAGAGTGGGATACACATTTGGATATTGGCAGCTGGCAACAAGACCCATCAAGAATATCCGTGGGGTCCTAGACCATGCCTTAATGGAGTAGTCAGTCCTGGCAAGCAGTAAGTTTGTGCCAGGGAAGAGACAAGGTGAACTGTAGACTTCACCTTAACTCAACAGGAGCACTACTTGCAGGAATTATCACGGAGATGTTGGCTGGAGTGATAGCAGAATGCATACTGGCTATTAGCAGGCCCTTTACTGCTGCCTTGTGTTTCATCTGGCAATGCTCATGATGGATTGTCACCTTAAGTCATAGGTCTGTAGGTCCTGGATTACTCCATTTTAAAGAGATTTCCAATCACTGCACAATAGGCAGAGATGGACCCCAAAGCCCCTGAGATGGAAATATTTTGTTAGCTTCATATTTATTTGGCAGAGCTGAGCGGGACACCTCTTACTATGTCCAGTCATCAGTACACTTTATCAGTTAAATTCTTGGAGGAGTTTAAATTGAGGTCATTCCCAAGCTCCTCCTTTTTGATCTGTGCAAGAAACCCTTGCCAAAAACCTGTATCTTCTTCATGGTCTAAGAAAGAAAACATGGCAAAAAAAAGACATATCCATATAGTCCACAGAATGCTTGCAAAAAACATCATTAACATCATAAAACACATATCAGTAACTTCAGGGCCAAAATACAACCTGACATTGCATTCCAGGTCATCCACACACTTATTATATGGCCTAAGGAACGTACACAAAGTGTCTGTGTCCCAAAAAGTGTAGAATTTCAACTTTCAAGATATTACTTGCTAATTAATTTTTAAAGTTCAAAATCAGAAATGGGTGGAAATGCTGTCAGTTCAGGACTGTCAAGAGCAGGTCAATATTTCTCTTCCCCAAATGCAGTCTGCGAGGCTGGGATGTATGTTTTTATTACCTGGAAAAAAAAAATTTTTAAATGTAGTGTTTATGCACCCATGAAATATGTATTTCCCATAGCAGAAGTCTTCCACCAATTATATTTCAGTATAATGTGAACAATTACATGTTTATAGTCACAAGTAGGGCTAGAAGAAACGTTAATCCCACAGCTATGCTCGTTTATATAGAAAAAACTTTAGTACTCAAGAATAAAGTATAAATTGAGTTCTTTCATGCAACAGATGACAGAGCATCTGGATGGAAAGCTTTGGCGAGCTTTCTAGAATCTTCCATACGACCCAAAGTGCTCTGCTGACTGTATAGTAAAAGCAAATGAACAGGTTGGGAAAGGCCTAGTCTCTACTATAAATAGTCAGTACTGAAGACCTGACTTACAAAGATATTTATTACCAAAACTGTAAATAGTCAAAGACTGACAGTCTATAGAGTTGCTCAAAGAGCACAGGGGATGTCTTATGAAAATAAGTCTGAAGTGTTGCTGTTTTTAAATTACAAATTTAATTTTTCCGTTAAATTTAAAATTCAAAACAAAAAAAGTCAACTAAATCCAGTAAAACCAGGTATAATTCTTAGTACTGAATCCAAGCTAACTTGATCAAATGTCTGAGTCACAGAGGAAGAAGAAGAAGAAGATGAAGATGATAATATGTCAACTGTCTTGAGGCTCAGAACAAAGATGCCGTGGAAAACCTGCTGGAGATACTTAACCTCTGGAGGATTTTTCTTGCTCTTTCTGATGATTTTCTCAAAATTGTTGAAACACTCAGTTATTGTGGCCATAGACTATTGGCTTGCTACATGGACGTCCATGGACAATGCAAATGAAGTCAGGAACGTTGATGACATTAACAGCACAAACAAGGTGGGACATATCTTGGAGGTTGACAGGGAAAAAAAAAAAAAGAAAAAATGTTTTAAAGTAGTTATTCGCTGTTCATCTAGAAGCCAACTAGATCTGAAATACAGATAGATATAGTTAGATTATTATATAGAATGTATAAATTGTTTATGGTAAAACATAAGACAATTCAGATTTTATCAATCTTTTCAAACATGCAAAACTGAAACAGAATCATGTTTAAGGTTTAGAAAAATGATTGACTTTTCAAAGGAAGGAATTGCATACTAAACTTTTCCATCTGGATTTTTTAACACCTAAGTCAATGACCCTGTTTTCCTAAGTATTGGCTGTCCAGTAATGTCCTGCCAGAAAAAAAAAAGGTCTTCAAATGTACTACTTAAATACAATCTTCTTATAGCTGTAAATTTGATTCATATACAAATATCTCACTGGAATCCACTTAGTAAACTTTCAGAAGGCTTAAATGTGTTATAGCCCTGGCAGATTAGTTTAGGATTTGCTCTGGGAATTTTAGTGGTGCTTGAACTTAATAAAGTGGAACTTTCCTGCATCTCTCAAATGCCTTAATTCTTGAGAGGTTCTACTTTGGTTGTCTGAGTTTCTTGGCTAATAATTTACGTACTTCTGTATTTGTCCAGTCTATTTTCACAGTTCTAAGTACTATCACTTCAAGGTCTTGAGAGGTACTCATCAGTGGGCTGAGGGATCTTAGAACTGCCAAATCTTCCAATTATGTGAACGTAATGAACTGCAGTTCCATTATAGTTCTTTTATTTCCCAAAGATTATATTGATATAATTATGTAATATAAGTGATGTGACATGCTAGCTGATTGGTACCAAGTACCTTGTGAACTTCCTAGTAGAGAAGAGAAATGTGTGTTTATTTCTAGGACTGATGTATTTATCATTTTATTAGACTTACCATGTAGCTGTCTTCAGCATCCTCTCTGGAGCAGGGATTGTCCTTTGCCTCATCACATCTCTGACTGTGGAGTGGATGGGTCTCACAGCAGCCAAGAACCTACACCACAATCTCCTCAACAAGATCATCCTTGGACCAATCAGGTACAGCAAAAATAACATTATTCCTGAAAACCTACATGGCCAAAACCTGTCCTGGTTTTGTAACTAGGAGGATACACCTGTGAAAAGCTCTTGTAATTGCTTTGTTTTGTGCAAGGCCTCAAAGTGAAAATAATTAGTGAAGTGAGCAGAGCGGGAAAATTCCATGTCAGAACACATGACATTTTGCCCCCTTTTTTATCTGGCTGAAATATGTCAGATAGCTGGTACCACCTTTAAGGCTTCGGTGTCAAGGAAAGCTTTGAGTGTAGTTCTAGCTTCAGGGCATGCAGCTCCAACCTTGAGCAATGGGCATGGGGTCAAATGATATGGACACCAAGTTTCTTCTTATGGCCAGGGACAGGTTCTGTGCATGGTAACCACAGTCTCTCACAGGCAGCAGGATGGCCAAAAGGATGCCTGCATAATGAATACAGTTATCATGGTTCTTTTATGAAACCAGTGAGTCCTGGTGTCCAGTACTATGCAGGAGGTTGAGTAGCAGCCAGGGACACGCTGCAGTCTCTGGAAGGGATCTTAAATCTTGAGGGAACATGGATGAAAGAGCAGGAGGCAAGACAGTAGGTTTTTGGCAGAGGAAACATGAAAGTTTGGGGAGGGGAGGGAATGCCAAGAGAAGCATTTGGATAGTCAGGATGCAGACATTATGATGTGTTATGTTACTCATATTTACTGCTTGGTTTTAGAAGATGTCTGGACACAGCTCTGTGTTCTGTCTGACCAGGCTTTTTATCCAAAGTGGAATTCCTCTTCAGGTAACTTTTTGGTTTTAATTTGTTCAACAGGTTTTTCGATACGACTCCATTGGGGCTAATTCTAAATCGCTTCTCTGCTGATACAAATATCATTGATCAGGTAGACCTATCAGTATATTCTGTTTTGTTACATCTTGGCTTTGTAAATTTTCACTTAGGTACTGAATAAGATGATACATTCAAATATTCTGTAGAGAAAGGCATAGCAAAACCAGGCTCTGGTAATGAGGGCAGGTAACCATTAGAATAAACCTGGTGGGAGATGGTGGCTCTTAATGTCTTCATATGTAGACTTGTTTCTGTTGGAAGATTTGGATTAGCAAAGCACCAGATTATGGGCTCAAAACAGGAAACAGGGTAGAATATAATAACTTCAACTATATGGGAGTACACATGACAAATAGATGTTCCATCCTGGCTGTAGCATATATGAATTTACAACATTCAGGGAGAGGAAGGGATGCTTTCATTATGGCTGTGAATTAAAAATTTTGGGTGAGTAATAATCCTGAATGTAAGGGTGATGGGAACATGAGAGGAAAATTCAGAGGCTCTGAGAAAGAGCATGCTGTTTCTCTAAATATTTGGGACATCAAAGAAAATTTTCTCTTTCTTGCCCGCTATATAAGAAGGTGGAAATGTCTTCTATTTCTCTGTGATCTTTGAAACACTGACCTTTAGAAAAAAACCTAATGACTCATTTTTTAACCTCTGCACATTTGAGTAGTAGACCTACAGAAACATAAGAGCTCCTGATATAAGGTGAGTATCAATGAGTGCACAGTGGTATCATTGCACTTTCTCTATGGTACTCTATAGGAAAAGTCATATCGTGGTACTAATGGTAACCTTTGCCTTATGTTTGGTTTTTGTTTCGCTCTAGCACATTCCTCCTACCTTGGAGTCTCTTACACGGTCCACCTTACTCTGCCTGTCAGCCATCGGAATGATCTCCTATGCCACTCCATGGTTCCTTGTTGCCCTTGTGCCTCTTGGGATAGCATTTTATTTCATCCAGAAATACTTCAGAGTTGCTTCCAAGTATGTATCAGAAACTATCCTGAAAATTTATTCCAAAAAAATTTGACCATAAGAGTTGTGATGGAATGTGAGGTTACAGGAGCTAGTATATAGGAGCTTTTTATCCTGAGGTATGAGTTTGAGACCTATATTGGAGGGTGTTTCCAGCTGACCTGATGCAGACGGGGTATCTGGGGAAGCAACACTAGTTGCATCACTTTTGTACACTGTTGGCTATAGAGTCAGATAAGCATGAAGTTTGTTAATCAACTGACACAGCTCACATCTGGTCAAAGCTCCTCTTTGACCTTTTGAGGGTTAGTAGAGAATGGAAAATAACTTCCTGGATTAACATCAGTCATGGCTTTTTCTTCATATTGGTAAAAAAACCTCTACAGAATATCATTTCCACTGTACAGCAACATTTCATATTCAGAATGGTTTGCTGGTTATAAAGATTACATTTTTTTAGCAAAAAAATGTCGTGATTTCTTAAGAGTCATGCTTTGAGTGCTAAATCCATTATATAATTTAGTAAAATATCTTAAGCAAGCCATTTGGAGTTTTTTCTTAAATTCATTCAGTCATCCTTCTTCTTTTTTATCAGCCAGATTTCTGACTGGATTTACTACACTTAAAAACACCCATCAAGGTGCCTGCTAACCTGCAGGCAGGCCAAAATAACCTGCCATCATTAGCAACTGTCACTTCTGTCCCTGTCTTTGCAGTATGCACATGGTAAAGCATTAACTGCTCTTTGGTAGCATCCGGTTAAGAGACACAGTGATTTTCAACTGAGCGTTCCAGTACGTTGGAAGTACTGGAACGTACAACGTTCCAGTTGGTTTCATGGACAATAGTCTTATTTAGGTAGCCTGAGAAAGAATTGTGTCAGTTATTCCCCCTAAGTCAATGGAGCAGGAGGGGCACAGAGCAACATAGCAATAATTTAGCTTCACTTTAGTCTACTTTTCATCAGCTTTCCTCAGAACTTCCAAGGACATTTATTCATAAGAAATCTCTACAATCAGAATTCACAAAACAAAAAAGTTTAATTCTGAAATAATTTGCTTAAATTCTCTGAGAGTTTTCAGAAACCTTGTTCTTTTCCTACCAGGTTTCCAAACTAATGCTGTATGTAGCAGTACACCAGGTCTCAAGGTGGCTAAGGAATCAGGAGACCTGGTTTTCATTCTTAAATGCTTTATGGTCTTCTGAGTGTCACCCTGTCCTGCTACACATAGCAGTGCACACTGTTTAAACTTCTTGCTTGAAATACAAAGGAGTAGGCACAAACTGCTGTATTAGACTCCAGGGAAATACTACAGTTTCTCTCTGTGATTTTATATGTGAGAGTATCTCCAAACCTGGTTTTCCCGCATGCTGTACCGACAGCCATACCACACAAGCTAGCAAGAAATTAATCACCGCTGTAGGTCAGCACACACACACACATGCACCCATTGGCTCTGCAATCACTGATCTTCTGCAAGTCCATAGCTACCTCACTCATTTTATTCCCTTACAGTTTTCTGGGAAAATCTGTATCAGCAAGTATTTTTGCTTTTTTAAAATCTGTTTAATTTAAACTCTTTTAAATCCTTGTGAAGCATCCAGGGTTGACTTGTGTTCTTTCAATCCACAGCAGAAACTAATAAATCCAATTTAATTCCAGAAAAAATAGTCTTGGCAAATGTAGGATGAAGTAATAGCTTCAGACAGTATTTATAACTTACTTGCATGCAGTGCTTTCCAGGCATATAAAGCTTCACTAATTTTTAGAAATGCAAATATTTACAGTATTTTTTGCAGCACTTTGACTCTTTGTTGTATTTTCCATTACATATCTCAAAAACTTCTGTGTATTTTCCATCATAAATTTGAAAGAGGGCATATTTGTCATCAAAAGATAAGCAGCAAATTCAGTTCTGTATACTGTAACATTCAGCATCATGGAGCAGTTATTTCTTCTGGCCTTTCTAATACAGTGTGCAAACACAGTAGGGTTTTAATAAAGAGTTTAAATATCTTATGATCTGGCCTCTCTTCTGTTTATACAACTGGCTGCTATGCCAATGGCAGAGTGTTACAGAAAGATGCATTTGTCTCTGTGGTTTGGAAAACGTTTCTGTTTCAGGAGACTGGAACTTTTTAGACTTAAATATCATTGCTCCAGGCAGGTCTTCAAAACACCATTGCTGAATAATTGAGGAAATTTCTCATTCATATTATTTCTCTGTCAGTGCTGTCTCTGTTTCAACCAATGTGATAACGTTAACACTACAAATAGAAGGTCTGCTATAGTCTACTATATTTTATGTTCAGCATGTTGTGGTACTTACAGATACTCAAAATACTCAAATTGAGGCAAAGTTTATAGGGTAGTTGATACAATTGCAATAAAATACATAAAACTTGCAGATAAACTCTATTTCATATTTGATGTAAGAGCCACAAATAACATGCTATAAAGTTGAAAATCAACTGTTCTGAATTTAAGTTAATTATATTAGTTCTATTAATAAATTAGAATGTTTGAGAATAAAAGTTAATTAGGATCTGGCTAAAATGGACAGCAGTTTTTATCCAGGAGAGATGTGATAATATCATTATTGCTGTGGGACAAAGAGAAGCTTAGCTGTGACCAAAAGCTACATTTATGGAGGTGGCTGGGAGATGATTCAAAGCCTCCTATGGCAAATGGCAAATGCGATATTCCCATGTCAGTGTCTTTCTATACTATAGAAAAGTATAGTTTTGTGTCATCCTGAAAAGAATATGTGCAATACATAAAATGTCTGTTCTTGCCTGTTATCCAGTAAAATTTCTACAGACAGAGATGTTCACATTGTAATGGCTGCCTGTTGGTTTTTGTACTGCTAGGGACCTCCAGGAACTTGATGACAGCACTCAGCTACCTTTACTCTGTCACTTCTCTGAGACAGCTGAAGGCCTTACCACCATCAGAGCATTCAGGTTTGTAACACAAATGATTAGTGAGAGGCTTGGGTTCCGCTCTGGCCCATGCAGCTTGTTGGACCATATCTGAGGGCAAATTATTGGATTTGGTAGACTTTAATTAAGCTACCTCAAAATAGGGAAGAAATGTTTGTTTGTTTTCCTGTTGCTTTTCCACATCTCTACACGTTTGTGCATATTTTCAGTAACACACTAATTTAATTGTATTGGTTTTCCACTGAATTAAAGATGATGACTTCTGTAGGGTACGGTATTTAAACTTTTAAGGTGTTAAGTTTAACCATGCCTTACCTGGACAACAGGGAGCTCTCCTTTGTCAGGCAGGCGTGGGCATCACTCCTTCAGACCCCTCTGCTATATCAGATTCAGTGCCCCTGAATCATTTCCGTATTTAACCCACACCTCAGGCAGGGAAACATCATTATAATACTCTCCAACTGCAAGTTGGTATGCAACTAGAGGGACTTTCCAAGAAAACAGTATGGCAGAACAGAACTTGATCTTAATATTGTAAAACATAGCCTTGTCAATCAAAACAAAAAAATAAATTCCAGAAGTTTCAGAGAATTTTTCCAACTTTCCATGCATATATTTTTTTCTCTATTTACTACATGAAATATAGGCCAAATTCTCCTTGTATATTCACTACATTATAGCTGGCATGGCTCTGTCAAAGCGCCAGCTTGATGTTGTCCCCCAGTAAGTGTTACTTGCACTCATTCTGCGCACTGTAGGATTTCAAACCAGTGTGGATCACACTGCACTCTATTTACACACATATTTGATCAGCTTAAGACTGCTTCATTATTTCAAGCTAGCTTTAGGACCTAGGCTATTAGTTCAGAGTGCTGCAGTAAGGACTGTGGCAGAACAAGCAAAAATGTTGCTGTGTTGAAGAGATGTGCGCCAGTGGTCAACAAGAAATGTTGCAACAAGATTTATCAACCAGAATGATGTACTGAAACTGTAAGTCGTAATTAAGGTCCAATGCTGATGTATGCTGAGTGCTTCTTGAGGGATTCAGAGTGGCCTTTCATCATGTTATGTCCTTAGGAAGAAGAAGGAGCTTAGCACTTCTTGGGGGTCATCCAACTCTTCTTTACCTTGTAAAACAGCAATATGGGCTTGGATGGCAGAGAGCAAAAAGCAGCCCTAGGGAAGGACTAGGCATTGTAGCCATCACTTGAGTTTTCCAGGATCCCTGGTGCTAATCAAAGCCATTTCATTTCCCTATCTGTGCTCCACTGTCAACCAAACCTGAAGTCTCTACCATTTTTTGTCAGTGAGCTCGTATTTACTAACAGTCCTGTTAGTCATTCTCTGCAGTTTGAGTTCAGTATGTTCCAGGATAAAATAGAGCAGCCCCTCATATAACTTACCACAAAGTAGCACAGTTGGATCAGAAAGCAATTTCAGTGACCTTTGCTGTTTGTCATCTGACAGGATAAAAGTCTAAAACTGAGCAGAAGACGAGCTGGACGTGGATGAAAAGATACAGATTGAGCATGTCAGATTTTCCCCCAGGAAAACAGCAGTTTTGCTGCCAGACAGGCAGACGAGCAGGATATTCAGTGAATCTCTTACTACTCCCCGCGTCATTACCATTACCAGTTGTTGTTTCGGGGAGGTTGCTTGCCATGTTTACAAGCTGTGCAGAGGGAAATAAAGTATCAGTGGGAAAAGGCCAAAAAAAAAAAAAAAGCAGAAAACGAAGTTTCTGGCAGAACAGGGATCACAGGTGCTTCACAGCAGGGCCCTGAGACTTTGAAATGGAAGAACTTGCCATGATAAAACAGACAGTAAGCTGCTGAATGAAGATGAAGTTTGGCTAGTTTATTCAAGTGAGAGTATTTAACAGACAGTAGAATATGAAACAACTTTATTCAAGTGAGAGTATTTAACATTTAATATGAAACAACAAAATCATTTCCATCTGACTGCAGGTCATACCTGAAGTATTGAAAGGCACCACGATTTAATACACTTACACCAACAGAGATTTCCCCCTCCCTCCCAACATGTACCTCCACCCTTAGGTGCTCTGACATCCTTGCAGTTTTTTAAACATGACGGGAGAGAGAAACAAGTGACAGTGGAGGTAACACGGCTCGTTTTTATAACTCAGAAATGATTGATAGCTCTCCCTCATTGTAGCCATCTGAGTTGCTTAGGCAAAGTGTGACTGGCTGAGAAAACAGCTGAGCTGAGTGGCTGAAAGGTATTGATCTACTGATCAATCTGCAGTCTACATTAGTTGAAGCCTTAGAAATGTCACCCCTGTTGAAGACTCCTGCAGCTGGCCAGGTAACTTTTGAAATCAGATTTTATGCTGACAGGTGAGCCCTCTGCTCTTGCTAGTGGCTGCACCCCTCGCTTGTGGCCCCAGCCACAGTCCACAACTATGAAAGTGGATATACTCTGGGAAGTAAATCCTGTCCCTAACATGCTGGGATTGCAGTCTCTTTGAGGGAGCAGGCTCTGATCCAAAATCTAGCCCAATTTAATTGCTTGTCAAATTCCTCCCCACTGTATGTGTAGCTCTAGAGCACTAGCAGAAGGTATGGGTCCTTAGGGAAGAGTTTTTAACCCAGTTTGGCAAAAGAAGAAGGTCCAAAAGTTTTGGTTGGGGGTGAGGGGTGGGAGAGAAGAGTTTAATGCTTCATCTCTTTGCATATGAGTGTGTAATGTGTTGTAATACAACAACTTTGCTCTTGGCAGGCACGAAGCCAGATTTAAACAACGTATGCTGGAGCTAACAGACACGAACAACATTGCCTACTTATTTCTATCGGCTGCCAACAGATGGCTGGAGGTCAGGACGGTACGTTCAGTTTAGTCCTAGCCATGGTTTTGAAACCTTGGAAGCAAACAGAGACTTTGACTGATGCAGAGAAGATAATAACGAGAATTAATCTCGCGATGAGATTATACACACTGTCCCTTAAAATAGATTGGGATTGTTTATGTTAAACCCAAAAGGTTTTTTCAGCTTTCTTGGCTGGGAGTAAGAAAATACAAGTCTCCCTCATCTTTTTCTGTTGTGATGTCTAGCATCTGAAGAGAGCGCAAGAACAAACATTTACGTAACTTGAAATAAGGCTTTCTCTACTACTGCGCAGCATCTGCAGACCTGCCACGGCAGGAACTACTTTCAAAGCAGAGTATGGCTTTTAAGTAGTTTTGTGAACTGTGCCATCATTCCACCAGGGCTGTTTTAGGCACCATTGAGCTTCCAGGTCCTGAGGAATCTCTCCAGTAACAGGTTTTATCCCACAGCTGTAATTTAGGGCCCCCATTTGCAGTGCCCTTACTGCAGCTCTGAACTCATACTGTGCGATTTACAGTACTGTTCAATATCATGAAAGGTGGCAGAACTAGACTCCAACTGAAAAACAAATGATGGTAGGGCACAACACAGCCAGTGCAGTGAGACAGGTTCCTGGCTTCTGTGGGGGCTCCACAAGGAACAGCATATGAAGAGGTTCCCTGATTTGCAAGTCAGCGAGAGGCGAGCAAAATCACTGTGATTTCCTTATTCATCTGACACTACAAGAGCAGTGAATAAACAGACCAGTGACCTGATTCTGCTAGACACAAAGAGTAACAGGCATGATTAATCCTCACTTCAAAGGCTGTATCCTTACCTTAATTTCCTGATATGCTAGCAGAGCAACAAAGTTGTGCTCCATTTCTTATGATGGCACAGCTTTTCCTCATGCTTTTAGCTTCTTACAGCTTCCAAGATCAAGCTGAACTCACTTCCAAATCAAAGACAGATAAATAACAGAGCAACAACCAGTCCTGGAATAAACTGTGGCAATGCCTGCTAATGTCTCACAGTCTTAGACCTGCTTACATGCAGAATGAATTTGATCCAAGAATATGCATTGCTTCATCATGGCATTGAAAATAATGTGGTCACGCCAAGGAATAGTTTATTTAGCTCTGCCTAATGGCACAGTGGTACTAACATGACACAAAACTTTATAGAGTTTAATAGCAACAATGAAGTCCTGTCCCAGCTGCTGATGGAGACTTGAGATCATTGTGGTTCTACTTCTCTGTAGACGTTAAGTTTGAATCTGTCATCTGCCTCATCAACACTTTTTACAGAAAGATGAACTAGGCAGCCCTCATTTCAAATCTCAGAGGGGAAGATTCCAGGCAGGATATTATCAGACAGGAGGAAAAAAATGGATGGAAAAAGCTAACACTGTAATCCAAGATAAATATAATGCAGGGAGCAGTGGGAGAGTAGGAATATCAGCAGTCTCATGAATCAGGCACCTTGACAACTACATGAGATCGCTCATGAGCGGCATTCACTTCAAAACTGAGGTACACATCAAGAAGATGGGTTCAAGCTCCTGCAGAGCTTGTGAGAAGTCAGATCTTTCTAATACAGCCTACACAGCAATTTCTGTAAAGCAAGTCATCACCATGCAACAGAGCTGAGAGCCTTCAGGTGTCTACCATGGAGTCAGTCCAAAATTCGAAGTGCTGTGGCAGGAGCAAGGCTTAGTAGCTCATTTGCAGCACCACAACTACACAGCTATACTGCTTTCAGAGTCCATATTACCAACAACCACATGGTGTTTCACTGCAGGCTGTGAGTATATAGCAGACTTGGGGATGTCTTCACTATGCACAGCGTCCCATTGCATGATGTAGACACTTTATGTGAGTTTACCCACTTGTGCCCATAAAACGTGTGGATTACCTGTATAAATTCTACAAAAACTCTTCATGGAGTTTGTGAAGTCACTGATACTTCTCTTTTTTGGGAGGTAAACCCATGTTTGAGAAGACCTGAAGGAGAGTAGAGAGTGGAATTGATTTGTTTTAGTGCTAGGAATTAGGAGTGTCAGTATTATGCCATTCTTATGGTGTTTTGTTTGGGTTTTTTATATGCTCATTAGATTTTTTTGATACCTGCTCTTTTTGGGGTGGCCACAATGGGATACCCTAGCCCAACTGGATATGCAGAAAATACTGTCCTGTTTCATTTGTGTTCAGCAAGTTCCTTTAGGGTGTTTCAGGTTGGGCACAAAAACCCGTGACATTTTCCAGGAAAAATAGCCCAGAATTAAGAACTAGGCATCGTTACAGAAATAATCCTTAGTAAAGCAAATGTGCTCTGTATCTGAAGAAGTTTTCTTGTTGCGGTGTTTTAATGTTGTCTAGAATCTTTCTCTTCCTTCTTTCTCGTTCCAGGATTACCTCGGTGCTTGCATAGTTCTGACTGCGGCTGTCACTTCCATCACCGAAGGGCCTAACTCGGGGTTTGTGGGGCTAGGTCTCCTGTATGCTCTGACGGTATGTACCAAGGCAAAGCATAAGAACTTCCAGACCAATGTATTAGTTTTATGATATTTTTTTTAAATACATATACATAGTTATCTTCCAACTTTCTTAATCTTGAAACAAACAATCTTGCAAATAATGGATTTGAGCCAAAGTTGAGAGAGTTCAGGGCAACTTGGACTTGCTTCAGGTTTTATGAGCCAATTAAAAAAACACAACCATTCCCAGGCCCTGCGTGCTCCCAAGCAGAGCAGGAAAATTAAAAATGCGTAAGAGGACCTGCTGTGCACTCTGTTTTGCACAACACAGTGTTGGTTCTGCCTGTATATGGCAAAACCTGCCAGAAAATACTATCCCACAGACTGTCATAATCTGGGTAATGTTTAACCAAAGACCAAATAAAATAATTGCTGAAGAACCAGAAATGACAGTTCTACCTTCGGAAGGAAATTACTCAGATGCCCAATATTTTCCACAGAATTCTGAATGGATTTGGGATTGGGACTTTTGGGGCTCGGAGGCATGGTTCATCATGACAGGTAGCAGTAGGAAAGCAGAGGAGATGAAATCTTGGTGGGATGCTAGCCAATTCATTTTAACTCTATTGTTAGCACTGAGCTATTTGAGCCGAGTCATGGAGAAGGAACAGTGTTTTAGTGCAGTAGGCTGTAAGAGAGGCAGAGAGCGCATGATGAGCATAGCGTATGATCACCACAGAGAGCAGAAATATCACTGAATTAATCATGAGAGTGGGGACAGAAGTAGCATAAGGATAATGGCAGGAAGAATTTTTGAAACCATGGCTGGCATGGCAAAAAAATGGCTGCTTTACGGCACTGGTATGAGGGAATGTTACGGGTATGGGACTAATGCTGAGATTTGGCTTTGCACGTAAATGCTGGCACACCCATGGTTACAAGAGAAAGTTCTTGGCAGCTGCCTTAGGATTGCCTTAGATCCCCCTCGTCCTGTTGTTCCAGCAGTGTGAGAATCTGCCAGTAACTAAGAATCAGTCCCAGAGCTTCAACTTCTCTCTGAAAACATTCCTGGTAATCCTGCTTTGTTAGCAGAGATCTGGAAGCGCCAAGATGTCTGCATCATCTTTGACTTCTTTGCATTTAGTCTGTATTTGCAAACAGACCATTAGTGTAAATTAGCCACGTGCTGAAGTCTGGCATAGCAGAGGAAAAAATGCGTTAGTCACCTGTCTCCCTCCTGCCCCACAATAACACTGATGAAACTTTGAATGCAGTTGAATCTTACTTGTGGCCCCTGACATGGGTTTTTGTATCATTTCTCCCTGGAGCTAAGAGAGGGCTGATGTTTGGACCTGGATGAGAGCAAACTGTTTGTACCAACGTTGTGTTTACAGTGGACATCTTCAAGCTTATTCTCTTCCCTTGTATAAACACTGCCAACTCCCTTGCACAACTGTGATAAAGGTTGAAATAATGGGTAGAGCCTTTGGGATGCCAGGCTCTGTTATCAAATCTGCCAAATACGATTGCAGCCTGCTACTCTGCAAGCAGCAGAGTGTTTAGCTCATTTGCAAACGTACCCATTTCCATAACTTCCTGATGCAACAGCTGGACACAGAATGAGTGGGTTTCTGAATAACAAATAAAATACTTCACAATAGCCACTAGAGTAAGTCTATCTTAAGGATAAAGTAAGCAACTAAATCCTCTAAATTGACAACAAGTGTTATTGCTGAATCTCAATGAAAATTATTTACTGTATGCCTATTGCATCAGTATTAGGTAAGTGGAAAAGAAGTGGAGCTGGCTGATTTATTTATAATAAATTTCTTATCTGGCAGATTCAGCAATGTCCCACAAATAAATGACAAAATCTTTTTCTGAATATGTCTGCGTATAGGATGTTTTCACTGTCTAAGTTAAGTTTCTAAACCTTTATTCAGGTATGTAAAGCATCTCAATTTTTAAAGGTGTTTGGCAATCAACTGTTCCTAATAAGATCAGTTTTTCTTTTTTATATCAGCACCTAAACACAGACTTAGGAACATTTAGGAAATGTTTAGGAAATTGCTTTACAATTTTAAGCCTTAAATAGTCAGTCTTGACTAGAGATCAGTTTCTCTAAGCTATTGTGCATTATTAGACAACTAATTATCAACTATTATCTACTACAAGTAATACCTTTACTACTGATCAGATCCTTTTGATTACAAATGGGAATAAAAACCAAGAAGGAAACACCATTGAACTGATAATACATTTTTTCTTATATATTTCTATGCTAAAAACCCTCACATTTTCCACAGAGAGAAATAAAACATCTAAATATGCACAGAAGGAGAGAGAAATGAAACACCCATCAAATCTTTTCAGTATATTTGCAAATAGTAAACTTTCTTAATCTTCAGTTGCAGTCTTTGAAAGATTAGAAAATGAAATATTTCCAAACACGGCTTCCAATTTTGATATCTACTCTGTGGGTGTATTTAAAGAAGATGCCTTTTGGCAATCTAGTACAGATTACTAGATGCCAAGAACAAGAGATTCCCTTAATCAGTCACATCTTCAGACTGCAGGTACAACCTTTCCATATTTCTCCTTCAAAAAAGAAGGATGAGAATACCTAAGCACTAAATTACTATGTCAGGGTTGTTTGTGTTGGAATATGACTGGCTTATTATGCATTTGATGCTGTTGCACTGAGTCTAGAGCTGTTGTAATGTCAATGAGAGACCCACTGTGCTGAGTCAGGCCAAAGACTTTTACAAATTTATCCAACCTTTATTCGCAAACAGGTAGATGAACCCTGACCTTGTTTTCATTCTGTGATGCAGATAACCAACTATTTGAACTGGGTGGTGAGGAATCTGGCTGATCTGGAGGTGCAGATGGGTGCAGTAAAAAAAGTGCACAGCTTCCTGAACATGGAGTCGGAGAACTATGATGGCTACTTGGGTATTGCACTCTAATCTTTTTTGGTTTTTAATGTGGTAATGTGAAAGCATGGTAGATTGGTCATGCAAAATGTATACGCCTCTGGCCAAAACCTGTTCTCATTGACATGTAGGAACTCCCACTGATCTGAGTGACAAGGGTAGCCAAAAGCAGCTCTGAGATATGTAGCCCATGCTACTCAACATAAAAAACCCTACTGAATGCCAGGGATACAGAGCATGGCCCTGTAGTCTAATCAGAAAGTACCAGGGCACAGTTATAGATGGAATGAACAAAACATCCATGTGGCTATTTGGAAAACAAAAATATAGATAAAAATCAGAAATGCATTAACAGTCCCACACTTTGCAGCAAATGGGGTCTACAGGACAGGGGCACATTGGCAATCAGACCTCAGCAACTCTTCCCTGAACTGCACGTTGCTGTTCGTACTCCACGTATTTCAAATTGGCTTTGATTGGTGTTTTAGAAGTGCTTGAAGTGAAAGGCCAAAATGCTTACAGATCAGTACGCTTCCCTGGAAAGCTAAGCCACTTAGTCTGGAGACAAAACCTGCCTGTGTATTTGCAAATCAGGATGAAACATGAGCTGTGATAGAGTCAACAGCTCATGTTGTACAGCAGTAACAACATCCTTCCTTGCACTGCCCTTCCTGTGCCGGTTACTGACCGAAGAACATACTAACACTGCGCTGACACTATGTTCTCTCTTCACTTGGCTTCTCCCCATTTCATTGCCAAGAGCCACTTCAGCATCTGCCCTCTCATCTTATGTGTCGAGGTCTGGAAGCTGAGTGCTAATGTGCCCGCCAGGCAGTTCCCAGCAACCCCTCGGCAGAGAACTGGGACTCCATTTCTCAAGTGGCTTCAGGAAGGTGCCCAGGCAGGAAAAAAGGGGAAATGGGAATGTCATAAAAGGTGACCCTCTGATAGCATTCATTTTTGTTTGTTTTACTGTTAACTATTTCAGATCCCTCTCAAGTCCCAAAAGACTGGCCCCAAGAAGGGGAAATCAAGATCGAAAATTTGTGCGTTCGGTATGAGAACAACCTGAAACCTGTTCTTAAGCATGTTAAGGCATATATCAAGCCAGGACAAAAGGTACTGTGTCAAGCAACTCCCTATCATTGTCCTCATTCTGGAGCAGATCCTTTCTTAGTGTGTTTCCTTTTCTAAGGTGGCAGAAGAGCAAGAATAACAACAATTTGCAGTGACAGCTATATACATCGATGGTCCTCTCTGAGGTCCCTGGGCATGGGTCAAGAAACTTACACTGATGACATCTTATTCTTGATGGATCTGTTTTCCTTCTGAGTCTCATTTCTTTACAAGTCCACCCCCTTCACGAAGAATGAGCCTAGCTGGTCAGATGAGGTTAGGTGAACACCAGACTGGAACAGAGTAAAAATGCAAGAATATTTCACTTTTCAGCATATAGTGTCATTGGAGTCCAGGTCAAAATGCTGAAGTTTCAAAAATGTTCCTGGGACAAGTCCTCACAATGCTGAGAGCCAGAAAAGAGAAGTGTGCTTTCCACGGTCTTTTGTTTTTTCCCTGGTGTCTGCCACCAGCCATGGGGAAGGACATTTTTACTCATCAGTAGGGCAGTCCAGTCCAGCTTTCCCAGAAGGACTGCAAGTCTGATTTACAGCTTCCTTTCATAAGTAAGTAACATCTTGCTTTCTTTTGCAGGTTGGGATCTGTGGACGTACTGGCAGCGGCAAGTCATCCCTGTCTTTGGCATTCTTCAGAATGGTGGACATATTTGATGGTTAGTTTTCACTGGAGTATGTTGCCGCTCCTGACCTGCTCCCCCCTTACTTCTTCAGGAGAAGTGAGGAGACTTTTTGATAGTTTACATCCTGGCGCTCTGGCTCAGAAGATACTTGATTAGAATGGGGCTTGTTATGCCTGATGCTTCAAAGTACAAAGTGTCCTGTTGTGAGCAGTACTTTGTTCTTCCAGAAAACATTACACACAGATTATACTTCTAATTTTTTTTTATGTTTTTGCATATGCTCTGACAAAACAATATGCCATTTTTGAGATAGGAGGAAAAAATATGCAATTCTCTGGAGCCTCTAAATTTCTTCCTAATGAATAACTGCATTAACTTATGATAGCTGTCAAAATATTAGCAGAATAGAAACTAGAACTCAACAAGTCCATTCCCTTGATATTTATTTTTTATTTTATTGTGGTTTCCCACAATTACAGCAAAAACTGACTGAAGGTTTGGGAAACATTTTGCTATGTTTTCACTTCAGCAGCATTTCACTCTCCCAGCTAATTGGCATGAACTGGTATGCAGCAATATGTACCCTGGCATTTATAATACATATACATGTGTACTGTTGCGGGAATATGGAAACTTACTGGAAAGTCATCTTTTTGTTTCAAAGATTTCCGTGTTTCTAATTTAGCCATTCTGCATGGAACGTTTCTAGGGAAACCCCAGTAGGATGTGGGAGGATAAGTAAATCTTATGCAGCTAATACTTGCTTTTCTTGTGGTTCTGTGCCTATATGTATCTATGGTAATAGGTTTCGGATTCATGACTGGGGTTCCTGAATATATAAATAATGCAAACAAAGAATAATTATGGTTTTGGCCAACTTTAAGTTTCCTTCTACTTTAATCTTCTCTCTCTATCCTTTCTTTGTCTGCTGCTTCTGTATCCCTGATTTTTCCCAATGGGAATGCCTAAGTCTTTTCCAGTCAAGCTCTGTTTATCCTTTGTGCACATCCCTCTCTCTCTCAGCTAGACCCATATTTGGCCTCTTTGCTGGTCCACTTCTGGGTGGAGTCCTGGCTCTAATAAAAGTTATATAACAAGATTTCGAGTAACTTTACTAGAGCCAAGATTTCATTCATGTTATCCATCTTGGTTCCTTATATCCCTGTTATTTCTTTAAATTTGTATATGTCCCATTTTATTCCCCTACTCTTGCTTCTTTCTTTGTTCTTTAGTGTTTTCCTTTTCTTGCCCTCAGTTCAAACTATCTCTCATTTCTCTTCTGTCTTGCTTGGCCTCCCCTCATTACTTTCCTGGTTTCCTAACTGCTCTCTACTTTACTTTTTCCCTCAGGTCTCCTAATCTACTCTTTTCTTCTCCTTGAAGCACCCTGGCTTCTATCAAAAATGCCTTCCTCTTTTCCCAAAGCACGCCATATTAATTTTTCTTTCATTAGTCCACCTCATCTTCTGCTAACTGTCTCTCATGTCCTCATTTGTGAAGAAAAGGAATTGCTTAAGTTTATGCAACCACTGATGTCTCATGCTGAAGTCTTATGACCTGATTCAGACTTTCTGAAAGTCTGAAAACAATTGGGCTTTGCACCCTACAGATTAAATCTTGGTTCCTCTGACCATCTAATAAAAGCATGAGACTATTGGTAATCCAGCCAGGTGGGGATTAAGTCTTTCATTGGAATAGGGTCACACAGAGTAACCTACAAAATGCAGGATCATGACAATTGGGAATAACAGAAGAGGCATATGAGCATAGCTTTGAATATCCATGTATTTGCCAGTTCATGGTTAGGTTCTCACTGTTGGGAGAGAGAACTGATGAACTTAATGTTAGGTACTTCCCAGGGAGGAGTGCAGCTGCCCTGTGAAGTAATGCACAGGGAAACTGCAGAAGTGAGCCTGATGAAAATACCCGTTACCAGATCTTCATTCTGGGCCATTTGCCTTGGCCCATCCCTTCCCCATAACCCCGAGGAAGTTTCTGTGCCCAGGGAGGGTCAGTGGGGTCAGTAGTTCCTGGCTTTTGTTTCAAGATTCAAGGGAAGAGATTCCTTCTGCACTTCTCACCCTCTTCTACTTACAGGGCAGCCAAACAGTTTCTCTTGTACATTTCCCCCATTTCCTTCTCCTGAATGTCAGCAGTTGCCACACCCAGCACATCATAAATCAGATTTTCAGATGAGATCCATATGCTCATTGACCTGAAGTAGTGACTAGAAAAGGAAAAATCCTCTTACTTTACCAATTATCCCAGCTGTTGCAGCAACTTCTTGTAGGGGAATGAACTACTATGTTAAGGAGTGATTTATGTGACTGCTTCCAGTAATCTTATGCTAGCAGAACAGTATGTGGCTAATTCACAACCAAATACTCAAATGAAACTGATCTGTAGGAACCAGCTTGAATGATATTAAAATGCCTTGGAGTAGGACACCCTTTTTGTTTTTCTGATCTGCCTCTTGTTAAAAAGTTAATGCCACCCCATTTCTTCTAGAGTTCCAAAGGTAGTTTTGGCTCCTGATGTATGGATTGCAGATACATACATATATTATGCAAAAGAAATTGTGCACAATCTCAAATCCAGTAAGTTCTGCAACTGTTAAAGTCAAGGGGAACACAGAAAAGCACAGGACATGGCTAGTTACATAGGTTGCTCTTGTTCTTGCTCTGTTTGGCTGTAAAGCTCAGGTTGCCCCATAACCTTCTGGTGCTATGATTAATCACATAGCATCATGGAAATCATGTATATCCTTTAAGGGAAGGTTGGTGGGGAAAAAAGAGAGCAAGGCAACAGCGTCACTAATAAGCATTACTACATACATTCACCTTCCCTATGTCTGTATGGCAGTGCTGAGAGATCGCAGAGACTCACAGCCTCATCCTTTGGAGTCCAGCCCGAACCACCCGTTTTATCTTTCTGTCTGCTACCTGCAGATCACATGCTTTGTGCAATTCCCTCACATGTCTTCTGCATGTTGTTTTAAACAGGGAGGATAGTGATTGACGGAATAGACATCAGCAAATTGCCTCTTCATACTCTCCGTTCCCGACTCTCCATTATTCTCCAGGATCCAATATTGTTCAGTGGCTCCATCCGGTAGGTGTATGCCATCAGGGGGTGACAAGCAGCATTGCACGGTGTGTTTGTGATGGGCACTGTCGAACAGGAAGGGATGGAAAAGGGAGGGAACCTTCCTGCTCAGCCCAATCTATCTACACAATCTGCCCAAGAGAAGTCAAGTGACATACACAATGCCAAAATGTGCCTTTGCAGAAGACCCGAATGAACTGTAAGTGCAGTAACAAGACTCCTGTTACGGTTTCCTTTGCAGCTTTAATTTGGATCCAGAATGCAAGTGCACCGATGATAGACTCTGGGAAGCTTTGGAGATTGCTCAGTTGAAGAACATGGTCAAGTCGTTGCCAGGAGGCCTTGGTATGTCTGAACCAAGTCTCTGGGAACATAGGCCAACAATGAAATTATGCACGCATGAGCATGCACGCATATAAACAGATACATGGGATCTTACACTCTAAACCATCATGTAGGAGTTGACAGGTACCTAATGAATATTCTGTCTCTATGCTAGAGAGAATATTGCTACTAAAAAGCTGAAGAGCAGACTGGTTTTCCGCTCATTGCAGAAAAATCCTGCAGCACCTCAGCATCATAGTGACGAGTCAGCAAAGAGTTAAAAAAGGAGCAGTTTTACCTTCACTCTGTCAGCAGAATCTAGCTCCACCAGCAAAGCTGTAGCTCTTGTCTAGAACACCAACAGAGCATTTTCCTTATAATTTCAGATTTGGTTCATGAAGGAAACTTGCATATTTCCTTCCATATTAAGTGTATTTCATATTACTAAGATATTATCCTGCAGCCTACCAGATTTGCTAACTATTTGTGCCAACTATTTGCTTAATGATGTATTGCTCCTTTCCCAAGAAGTTGTGCTCACTTGTCTTGGTGTCACTCCATTCCAGCGTTCAGTCAAGATTACACTTATTGGCTTTTACAGGGATCTTGCTTGACCCTGGAATTGTGCACAAGCAGAGCTCTCATGGCGCCCACTCAAAATCACTGGGTCCAGACTGTATGAATGTATAGCATTTCAGTGGTGCGACATTCAAAGTAACTGACTTTATTACAGATGCAATGGTCACAGAAGGAGGAGAGAACTTCAGTGTAGGGCAAAGGCAGCTCTTCTGTCTGGCCCGAGCCTTTGTCCGCAAGAGTAGCATTCTCATCATGGATGAAGCCACAGCTTCTATTGACATGGCCACAGTGAGTATAGCAATTAGCACCATCACTGCGTGGATCTACTAGGAGAGGAGGCATCATCTTCCCTAAATGTCAGCCATGGGGTCTCTTTAGCAGAAAAAACTGACAGCTTTTTTGCCTTTCTCTTGTGTTTGGTTTCAGCTGTTGCTGTTAATGTGTTTTGGGGATTGATGCCTATGGTGAGGGGAAAAAAGATGAAATGTTTTAGAAAATCCCCTGTGTGGCATTTCGTTACAGAGAATCTGGTGCACAGATCAGAGATTGTATGCAATATGATCCTCTCTCTTAATGTGCTTGAAGACACATGAATTAAAATGTAAAAGGATGAAGTAACTGAAGTAAGCTTTTTCCTTTGATAGGAAAACATTTTGCAGAAGGTTGTGATGACTGCCTTTGCAGACCGCACAGTTGTTACAATAGCGGTAAGTACTGATGTCAGCAAATGCTCTCTTTCCTCATTCCTCAGACAGTTAATCTTGCCTTTCACCAGTTAAGCATCACTATATAAAACTAAAAACCATCAAAAAATAAAACTAAAAAACAAGGTCAGAATATTCACAGATACAAGAAAACATCAAGACACATACTATCAACCTGAAATTTTGCAGTAAATGCTATCTTGAAGTGGGTCGAACTAAAACACTTAGATCTGAAGAAGGACTTTACAGGGAGCTTCAGCATCTACACTGTCTCCAAGAAAATTTGTGGACATTCTCACTAAAAATTGAAACCAAATCCATGGGTTAAACCATTATTGAAAGTTGCATCAAAATCTAGATTTGAATTTTGCCTCTGAAGTCTATGCATGTATAGTGTCCAGAATCATGGCACAAATTTATAAAAGCAGCTAAGATTTCAGAAGCTTGTTGGTATGATTTCTCAAATTGGACTATCTTTTCTTTCAGAATAAAAAGTTGGTTTTATGATAAAGGTTTTAAAAATTGGAATCAGTGGGAATTGCTCAAAATGAATATCTGTTCCACTAAGGGCTTATGATATTTTTTCCTGTTTTCCTGCCATTTCTAGTGCCCAAAAGTTCCATACATCTGTGCAGGTATGCATGTCTATGTGTATACATAGACATGCATACGCACATACACACTTACACAGTGTTCCATCTTGTGACGGCAGGCTTACTCAACAAACAGATGTTTTATTCATGAGATAAATACATATTTCAACAGCTGCTTCATTTGCTTTGTCTGGAATAAAGTCCTGCGGTTAGAGATTAGAATTATGCCTCCTGGACTCTGGTTTCAAGTCTGTCAGTGACTAGCTTGTGTCAAGCAAACCACTTAACCTAGCTCATTTACAGTAGGCTCTAAGGTTCTTGGGTGTGTAAATGCTGAAGATGCTAGCAGTAAGCGTATTCTCCCTCAGTTACATGCCATTCAAATTTTCCGTATTGTCCTTCTGACTGAAATCTCACTTTTCTTTTGCTTTGCTTTTCTGAAGTTGGTGTCTCAAGCAAAATGACACACATTAATATTTAGCTTTCCTCATAAAGTTGGCTTCATTTCCTTCCTCTCTTTATTTATGGCTGATCCTTCCTTCACCCACCTGTTTTTCTTTTCTTTTTTCCAGCATCGTGTATCTCACATCTTGGACGCCAATATTGTCCTAGTCCTTTCTGAGGGCTTTCTAGTTGAATGTGACACTGCCTCAAACTTACTCCTCAAAGAGGACGGCCTGTTCACCACTTTGGTGAAGACTCACAAGTAGACTCTGTCAGTCCACACTGTTCACAAGACTTCTGGCTCTTTGGTAGTTATTTTTACCTCTTTAGTTTCACTCTGCTTCCTTTCTACTGCACAACTTCTGAGATGACAGTACAGTGCAAGAAGGTGTTTATTGTGCGGTTCCTGGGTTTGTTTAATTTCATGACTATTTATGCAAATCGTATTTAACTAAAGCTTAGACAGGCAGCTAACATTGAATCTATAATGTTAGTGGAATCCACACTTTTAGAGCTCACCCTGTCAATACCAGACTGTTTGTGTTCATACGGCATTGAAATCAAACTCAGCCTGGTTTCATTCCTGTTGCCTACGGGGCTAAACTAGCACCCAAAAATTTAATCTTAGAGGGAGCTAGTTGATTTACGGAAGGAGACAGCCCAGGAGTGCCCTAAGACAAATGCAGAGCAGACAGTCAGGGTACAGAGACCAAGGAGCAGCGCAGGATGCTAAGCCACTTGACAGCGCAGGCATACCCAGGATGTTTCTCACCCTTATTCCTGAAGAGGAAGATGTATTTCAGTGATGCCGTGGGTTTTGTTCCAACAGCTGTGCTGTCCATAATGGCAATTGGCAGACTGAAAGTGAAGTGCATGCTTAAATATTTTCAGGCTTGGTGCCAGAGGCTGCAAAGTAATTTGAGATCTCTTCAGATTAAAGATATAGTGCGAGGACCTACGCCAAATACCACTGTAAACAAGGATAGCCTTTCACCAACTTGGTATGTCTTGCATTAGGCCCATTAATGAACTGCAGGGAGGATTATCATAATGAAAACTTCCGTATGCTTTTCTTTATGGCAGCATCGGGTTCACACCATCCTAACGGCGGACCTGGTCATCGTCATGAAGCGAGGGAACATTTTAGAATATGATACGCCTGAGAACCTACTTTCGCAAGAAGACGGTATCTTTGCTTCATTTGTCCGGGCTGACATGTGAAGAATCACATGATGCATTTGAATAGCTCATTTTTAAACAAATGAAATGCAAATATTTTCTATGCAATGTAATATCACTTTTATCTTTTTTTTAGAGCATCTTTCTTCACACTTCTGTCTTCCAAAATAATAAAACCTATTGCAATACATGTATGCCTCAAAGCAATAAAAATGTCACTTCATTCAAAAGCTATTAAACTTCACACACACACAGAGGCAGAATTTTCTATTTCCTGGGAATCTGGCATTTTCTTTAGACTTTTTAGTGACTTTATTTTCTTTTATAAAGAGCAACAGAATGTACTGCTTTTATAAACTGCATATGCTATGCTGGAACCAGCAATCAAATCGTGCAGTTTGTCAGGGAAATCAGAGATCCCCAGAAGCATTATGTCCCCAGAGGGGAAAAAATTAAAAAAAAAACCAAAAACAGCAAATCCAAACCCGTAACACTTGGGGCAATCTGCTGCATTCCAAAGGCATAAACTTTGCTCTTCAAGTTGTAGTGGAGGAGCAGTGAATGAGGGAAAGGAATTTAATCAGAAATAAGGAAATTCTCCCTGTCCTTCACTTCAGTTCACACACAATAGTTGGCACAGTACTATTTTTCAGCACAATGATGGCTTATCCCTAGAGCCAGTTCCTAAAACCATATTTGTTCTGCAGACTTTTTTCAATCAAAGATGCAAATGAACCTATAATTATGCATGCTTTGATAGGCTTATAGGAGGATTTTGTACAGTATCTGAAGACTTTGTATTAAAAATAATCTGAATTTATAAACTTGATATTAGCCAATCTTTTAAACATGTCCACTAAAATATTCTACTTAAAATGGCATGTAATTAGCCAACGTCTAATTGTTTTGTATGTCTTTAGTCCTTCACACTATTTTTTTTATTTTGGGATTATTATTATTATTATTATTTTGGGACAACCTTTCTTTTCCTTTACACATTTCTGGTGTATCTCTAAACCAGATCTAGTCCAAGAAGGTATGCTTTTCAAATTATTTCTGTATTTTCAAGAATTTAGGTTAATTTAGATACTTACCTACATCATACAGCTTTGAAAAGGTTGCCTGCATTTGACTAATGCATATATCTAGATTCTGAACCGTGACAACTGCACAATGGGCACTAAACCTCCAGAAGGAATTTCACAGGCACTTTCAAAGGCAGAGTTTGAGACATCAGCTTCCCTAGTATTATTCAATGTGATTCTTATTCATCTATTATTACAAGATTTAGGAAGAAATGAGCCACCTAAGCCTATTTCTAGTGTAATGAAAAGAACATAAGGCGCAGTAGTTGGCAAGAAAAAATGCTATGAATATTGGGGAAGTTGTAGGACTTGAAATTGGGATTACATTTAGTGTAGTAGTGTAGAAATGATACAGTGGTTTATCTTTTTTTTTTTTTTTTTTTTTTTTTTTTTTTTTTTTTTTTTTTTTTTTTTTTTTTCCATTTTAGCTATTGGAAATAAAAGCTATATGATACAACTAAACAAAAAAACTCAGTCTTGAACATTTTATGAGGGGAAGTACTTCTGTGATTTCCCTGTCTACTGCTGTGAAAAGTTTTTTGCTCTTTTCTGGATTAATTCCCTGTGTTGAACTTTGTCATACAAAGAAAATAAAAAAATAAAGCAGATGTTTACAGTGGAAGTGCATGTTGTTATACAGATTTCAGAGACAAAAGGCCAAAATCATTCTTGATTTAATTTCATTGTCTACAGTGAAAAGCTAATTGGATTCATTGCTACCAGACTCAGTCAGTATGAAGATGAAGTATACATAACTTCGTTTATCTGTGTGTCTTTGATGACAATGCAATACTGATTTAAGTGATGCCAACTAGTTCAGCAAGATCCCGGTTTCCACTACATTAAATGGCTGCCGTGGGCCTGGAATTGTGTCAAGTTAAGAAGGGCCAATAATTAGTACCTTGTTCCTCTTACATTTGTCCCAGAGCCATTACAGGAGTAAGAAGCACCTTCTTTGCTTAACCATCCTTCCAGAGCTACAGGACTTAATGCTGTTTTTGAAACATGTAGAACAGAAAATATCTTAGAGGCTGAGAAAAACCTGAGAAAAATGCTTCGTTCATTTTGATGGAGGCAGGCAGGAATATTGGCCCAGTGTTACGCCAAAATTGCTTGGTCAAAGTGCTTGATGATTGTGGTAGTGTATCCCACAGCTGCCTAGCAGGTTTAAAAGCACAATTTGATTGCTGAAGCCGTTCATTCTATTCAACACACACAAATCCCAAGAGAGACAGCAAACATACACCAACTGCTACAGATGTACCAGCCCTCCAGGCATTATATATGATATCATATACTCACCAAGGGCTTAGGCGGAACTTTGCTTTTTTGTCTTTTCCTCTAATGGAGGAGGGTGTTCCCAGCAGTCGCACAGCTGTTTTGTTACTAAGAAGGGTGAGAAAGGGACAAAGTCTTTGAAACAAATTTCTCTTAATTTCATGTAAAGGTCTTAAATGTGTCCCCTTTAGGAGCAGTTTCCTTAGACTGTGGCGCATATGTGGAGATTTTGCTGCTTTGACTCTTGTCACACTGCCTCTTCTGCCAGTCAGCCCTTATTCTCTTGCCACAGCCTCCTTGCTTTTTTTTTCTTCACCATCTCCTTATATCATACCCTCTTTGAGGCTCCTGCTTGTATCCCTGAGTGCTCCTTATTCTGCCTATGGCCTCCCACTCCTTCCTGATTTAGCTCCATACCCTCTGCTCCATTTCCTCTCTGACATAGCTCTGCACTTATTCTCCTTTCCCCCGACTTTCTCTAAATTTCTATCCTAACACCCCTCCTCCTCAGGGGGACAGTTATTCTAGTGTCATCATGTTTTGGGGTTGTTTTTTTTTTTCCCCAAGCGTTAAGCTAAGCAAGCTTTCATTATTGCCATGTTATGCTCTAGAACCATTAAGTTCTTCCTTTTACACGGGAGCTTTGAATGCAATCACTGGCCATGTGTACATTTCTTTTAACTATGGAGAGAGGAAAATCATCTCTGTGAGTGAGCCTAAATTAAGTTTCTCATCTTATCTACATTTCTTTTTCTGTTAAGTGTTTCTGTGACAGAAGCAGCAAAACAGAAGGAGTAAGATCCCTGGTTGCCAGTCATAGAATCAGAGAATGGTTTGGGTTGGAAGGGACCTTAAAGATCATATAGTTCCAATGACCCTGCCATGGGCAGGGACACCTTCCACTAGACCAGGTTGCTCAAAGCCCCATCCAGCCTGGCCTTGGACACTTCCAGGGATGGGGCATCCACAGCTTCCCTGGGCAACCTGTGCCAGTGTCTCACCAACCCCACAGCAAAGAATTTCTTCCTAATGTCTAATCTAAATCTACTCTCTTTCAGTTTAAATCCGTTACCCCTCATCCTACCACTACACTCCCTGTTAAAGAGTCCCTCCCCATCTTTCTTGTAGGCCCCCTTTAAGTAGTGAAACTGCTTCTGGAGCCACAACAGTCTTTCTCAACCACTGACTTGCAACCAGTGGGTTATCTTTCCCGCTCCTTGAGCCGGGTCGAATGGATGGCACGGGTGAGACTGCTCCCTTCCTGTATGTGGCCTTTCGGCAAACTCATAATAGCTAGCTGCTCATTGCTGCTTCTTCTAAACTAGAAATATCACATATAAACTTTGTGTTTATTACCGAGCCAAAACTTACTTGTGCTGGGAAACACACCGTAAAAGTCTTAGGTAGTTCTTGAAGCAGGTCCACAAGCCTCTGCCTTAAAGCCACACTATCGACAGGTAGCAAGAGGAAGCTTTTCCCTCCTCAAGATCCAATGCTTAAAACAGATCTCTCCATCTATTCACTTTGCTGGGGATCCACATCAGCACAGTGGATGCTGGGATTCATCTAAGGTGAATTATTTAGATGATGTTTTCCGGGCAATCGAAGCTTGAAAGACAATAAGAATCTCCTTAAGAATAGCTTTGCCTGAACCGCTTGTGTTCTGCTAATTGTTATTTACGCTTCAGGGATTTTGGGAGCATGACAATTGTTTGGACTTGACATGTCAAACAACACAGTTACCAAATAGGAAAGTTGGTTGTTTTGGGTTTTTTAAAGGAAATAAATAAAGTCAGTGGCTGTCAGGACTCCTAATTCTGAGCTGAGTTTGTTCCTGATTTTTTGTAACTTCAAACTTGGTTTAGATTAATATTATATGTTAGTTATTTCAAAGAGTCCCGTATAACTAACTCTTCATACTCCTTTTGCTTTATTATGTAGACCTCTTAAAACCACCTGGATAATTTTTCTATTTGATATACAGTAAGTTGTCTGTATGTGTGTGTGCTTATACACAAAAACACACATGTGATCTTTCATTCCAAAGAAGTGAAAGCATGGTACAAGCAACTCAGGGTTCATTTCCTTTCTGATCAGATGAAAGGTTTCTAAGAACAAAAGTATGCTTTTTTTCAATGCCAGGCAAAGATCCAAGTCACACCAGTCAACGGGACAATTCGCCCACTGGAGGTGCCTGTCTCTCACACACACGTCTGCAGAAGGAGCCCAGGCAATGGGCTTGAACTGGATGTCTGCCTTTTCGACTGCTAACTCCATAGCCTCAGGGAGCCTCTGAGAGGTAGAGATAGACTCTCAGTGTAATTTTTAGCCATGTATAAACTGAAGAGGATGAACTGATCCACCAGCATTTTCTGCAAGGCAGGAAACTTCCCTATAGAATTTTGGAATAGCTCTGGTAAGACAGGGGCATAAGGAAGGCAAAGTCTGCAAGGAGAGATCATTGCTTTGTTAAGCAAATTGATATTGGAAAGAGGTATCTCAAGTGTTTATAAGTTCCAGTTTCATTGTAGACCTGAAAAAGCTCTTTATTTGCAAGAGCATGCGTGCTTTTCCCAAGAGTGTCGTTCATCTGAAAGTATATATCATCAAAAGATTCTCAAGTGCTTGCACGAGCCCCTTTTAGGTTAGTGTAAACCAGCAGAATACCTCTGCTATGAATTAATACCTCCCCCCGCCCCCCCGAATTCAGTTAGTACCAACATGAATACAGCCCAAAGGATTTGGCATCTCATTATATGTAAAACCTCTGTCAGCAAAAACTAATTGTATTGAATTATGTTTTCATATAGGTTTGCAGATGACATCAATTTTGAATGT